TAAATCCAAAATTCTAAACTCGAACCGCAAACTCTAAATTCCAATCACTAAACTCTAACCATAACCCCTAAACCCTAAATCCTAAACTATGATTTAGGGTTTAAAGTTTGATGCAATATCGTTGTCCACGAAGCAATGTCCACATGTTCATGAATATTTGTTGTCCACGAAATTCTGTCCAGCCAATATATTTCATATGAAAACCTGAAAAATATTTTCTCTCACCAATTTACTTTCACTAAAAAACCCTAAATCAAAATTAAACCTATCAACGTGTGAAAAACATTGTTCACGAAATTATGTCCAGAGATAAAGAGAGGATGGAGAAAAAGATAGAAAAATGAATGTGTGTAAGATGAAAGAAAATGAAGAGAATGGGGAAGATAGATGTGAATTTGGTAAAGGGCGAGAAAGAAAAATATGCGAATCTAAATAGTTTTGTATGATGATAAAGTGAGAGAAGGAAAGAGAAAATATTAGAGATACAAAGGTAAAAGAGGAAGAGATTTGGTAAGGAGTGTTTGGTCTTTTCACATAGTAAAAATATGTGGGTAGCAAAAAGTGGGTGTAAGTGATATTACTTTATAAGAAAGTAAGTTTATGTTCTAATTACTCTAAATAGTATGTCTTCTTTCAAAATACAATAATGCACATAGAATCCAACATGGAGCATTCTCATCACAAAAAAATGACACCAAATACCACAACAAGAGGAAAAGTATACCTACTCTCAAAAGTGTGTTTTCTTGCCATTACTTTGACAAAAGTATGTTTTAGTGTAAATAACTCATAAGAATTTACATCAAAATGAAAATATTAGTATTTACACAAAAAGCATGTGTACTAATATTCAATTTTCTCTGTTCTTTTGGTTTTGGTTATCTCGTCTCAATAAACTACTATACACGCGAATAGGGGAAAAAGATACATTGGGAACAAATTTTAGTGAAGCTATAACATACTTTCAATTTTATTTTTTAAAATCTTGAAAATGTTAAGGTTCTGTAAATTTTCATAAATTTTAAAAATAAGAAACAAGAAATGAATGTAATTAATAACTAAAATACATCAATACTTTATTATATTAATATATCTATCCATAGCACGATAACACTCGTTATCTTCTAAATCAGCAAACCAGAAAACAAACTGTTTTAGCAATCCTAACAAAAATAAAAGTTTTAAAACCATTGGAAATTTTCTTTAATTTCTTAGAAAGAAAAGAAACTCACAAGATAATAAAACAGCACCATTTTGGAGAGATTGAAAAGTAACACCATTTTCATCATTAAGAATAGGTTGGCCAAAAGAGTTGATCAAAATATCATTGTTTCCAAAAGCTTGCTTAGCGTTGAATAATCCCGCAGCCACTTCGAACAACATGTCGTTAATAAACGCAGTCAATCGGTTTGGAATTACACAATCTTTGACGCCTTCCCCACCATGTAATACCACAGCTCGTTCTTTGTATCAGATCAATGAAACACGTTTTAATAATTAATATTAGTCAACATAATTATATATAACTAATTTACCAAAACCAAATTTTACAATAGGTCAAATCTAAAGACCAAAACATCTTTTCCAAAAATTATATTATCCATGAGTTTACTCATTCTAAAAAAATAAGAGAAATTTTTACTAATGCCCTTTCTATGATACTATTTTTTAAAATACCCTCTTTTTAGCCATTTTCATTTTTGTCCTCTCTTAAATTTTAATGATCATTTTACCCCTACTTGAAAATTAATTAAGTCAACAAAATGAAAAATTGAATTCTTCCCGCTAAACTTTTTCCCACAAAAAAACATTCTCGTCAAAAAAATTTGACAAACTTTTTCCAGCCAAACTCTTAAACCCAGAAACCAAGACTTCAAGACCCGCCAAGCAAGACTCATAGGTGGACAACAAATACGCTTCGCTTCTGGATATGACATCAGCGAAAAGAACACCAAGAACACCATTAACAGACCTCAACAGATCTCGAAAGCAAAGACAAGGAGAGATGTCTAACCCCTCGATTCACACTACCCTCAAACCAAGAACGATGACACGAGAAATCTAACACCCACAACGACCAACAACAACTAAGACCAAGAAGAGAGATCACCTGCAAACTAATGAAACTAAGCCCAACATCAGAGAAGACGAAGCTTATGGTAGGAAAGGGATCAAGATAACAAGGAACCATTGGCAAATATGAGAGGATAGCGAGTAAGCACATGCCAAGAGCTGGAATGACAGGAGCTCACGACCAAACTCGACCGACGGCATAAGGACGACAATAGGCACAATAGCAACTAACAAATCTAGGGTGAGAATCAAAAAGGCTTGTTTACACATATCACACCACAGATCAAACAGATATGGAATCACTCTCTATGCTGAAACTACCAAACTAAACAGATATGGCCACTCATCCGCACAAACTACTCAAAAATCCTGTTCAAACAAGACCAACATCTCCCCAAACTTAAGCCTATACGACAGCAAAACAAAGACCCAAAAAACACATAAGACTAAAGAGGCAACCGGCACCGGCGCTAAAGGACGCCAAACGCCGGCAACGAAAACCCTAGAGTAGACGAGTTAAGCAAAGAGAGAAGGAGGAGAAAAGTCGTAGAGAGATAACAAGATTTGTTTGTACTAAAACACATCTTAAAGATAGTAATTTTTGAGTGCCATTGACATTAATTATATATTTTTAAAAAATTGTAAATAATATTTATCTTTTTCCTTAAATCTCTCCAATAAAGCTTTAAATATAATTTTTCAGCTTTATTATTTCTTTTTATCTTTATATGATATTTTTTTCAATTCTTTTTATAAATTAAACATAAAATAATAAAAATAAAAATTTTCACATATGTTGCAATTACAATTTTAAAAAGAGTTATTTACATTTATACCTACTTTGTGGGCATAAGTTTGCCAAAAAACATACTTTCAGCTATAGGTGTACTTTCTGTCTAACTCTCATACTATTGAAAATAATTTTTGACATTTTTGACCCTAAAGTAATAGTTAATGAAACATAGGGAAGCTGAGTTTGTTTTTTTTTAATCGGTTTTTCCAAGCTTTCTCTCTCTCCTTCTTTCTCACTTTTTTATTGTTGTCATTTTAAGTTGTTACTATAAAAAATTATCTAATTATTTTTATACAATATGTTGTGATTATCTTTTTTCTTTACATTTCAATATGCATATTGCTATATTTTCGATGGATTATTATATTATACACTATCCATTCGAAGGTGAACATATGTTCGATGAAAAGTGGATGATCAATTGCAGTATCATTTATGTTTAGTCTATTTGCATTTATAATTACTTATTTGTGTTTAGTCATATTAGAACATATTAAAACCTATTTCATGAAAGAATTTGTGGTTTGGTTAAAAGTCATAAATAAGTATCAAACAAACATCTTAACCCCTAACCTAAAAATGTATACCCTAACCCCTAAACTCTAAATAAAGATAAAACAATGGAATATGCACATTAAGCTAACAAAAACTCTAAACATAAACCATGAAACTCAAACCTTAACCTGTATCAAAATTAATTTTACTCTAAAACTAAAACCATAAATCATACACTACATTCTAACATCCAAACATTTTTATGAACATCCAAGAATATCCACAATATTGTAACCACATGGATATATATGGTCAATGTGTCTAGGTGAAAAGCGAAAACAATGGAATATGCAAATTAAGAGGTCGATTGGTAACGACTGTTACTTGTGGCTGTAGAGACTTTAACTTTAAAATTTTAGCTGCAGAGAATTTGGTTGTAGATGCTTTGGCTGTAGAAACTTTTATTGTTAAAATCTGATTGGTAATGCACTACTTTTAAAGTTATGGATGTTATTTTTATTATTATTATTTTATATTTATAATAAATATAAATTATACTATAAATGAATTTATAAAATAAAAGTATTATTGAAATGGATCTTAAAAGAACAAGAAAAAATGAGAGTAATTAATTTATAAAAATAAAATATATTTATAAACTTGTGAAAAGGTTTTAAATGTAATGGGGATATGAAAAATAAATCTTTTTAATTGATTAAATTTAAAGCCAGGTTTTTCACGCTTTGAGAAAAATGAGAAAACAAAGAAGGAAAATAAAGAAGTGACTTTTAATGCTTTAAAAAAAATAAAAGCAAAAAATGTTGATTGCCAAATGAATTACTGTTAAGGCTTTAAAACCATTTTAAATTCTTAAAAGTCATCACCAATCGCCCTCTAAACTAACAAAAAAATATTGGAAGATGAAAACAAACTTAGAATGAAAGTAAATAAATTATTGAAAAAAGTTATAAGGAGAGGCATCAACGAAGTATGAACTTGCTTTACAATTGTTAAAACATGTACACACCATGTCTAATCACTAAATCATAAACCCTAAACACTAAAATCTAAACCCTACAACCAATACAATAACACTTAACCCTAAAATGAAAACCCTAAATACGAAACCTTGAACTATAAATCCTTCCCACTAAAGACTTTAAAGAACAACCGACTCTATCCACATTTTCAAAAATTTGTAACAATAAATCCCAAGCCCTAAACTCAAAACCAAAAATCCTAAACCCTAAACATGAAACTCTAAATTGTATAAAATTAATCATTACCAATGGGTCACATATGTGAATAGTGGACTCATTCCAAAAAGATACAACATGACCCAAAATCCTAAACAGTGGTTTTTTTTATTGATACTGAATTGTCATTTCACAAAGGTATCCATTGTATTTATGTGTTGATCTTGAATTATTAGTTAGTTATCATCTATACAATTATGTCCATATAGATACCCAAATAATCTAGTTGATAGTAAACATAGAAATTGCATATAGCAAAAACTTAGATATATGTTTTGAGGTTCACTTGCATTTACTTTTAAGATTTGGAGCTGACGAAGAATCGAAGATGATAGAGAAGAAAAAGGTGAGTTTGATAAGGAGAGAGAAAAAAGTGATAGATATAAGAAAAAAGAAATTAATTTGTTGTTTTGATAAAGTAGAGTTAAAGACAGAGAAAAGATAATAAAGGATACGATAGTCAATTTCTTAACATAAAGTATAGAGATAGTAGAAAGTGGGTGTGATGGTGAATACTTTGTCAAAAAGTAGGTGTATATGCAAATAATTCTTTTAAAAAACGGGCCTATATTGCCAGTTTGCTTAACTTTACTTCATCTCTTGTAAGGCTCAAAAGGGTATCTCTGAAACTCAGACCCGAATGTGATAGATTCCTCGTCGAGTTTCTTCTTCAACATCCTCCAAGTCCTCAACTTATTAGACTGTATTAATCCTTTATACAATGTCTCAAAAGTTAGCTTCTGTGGCAAGTAACCCTTCTCTATCATCTCCACAAAATACCCACAAGCCTCTTTCCATTTCTCCTTACTACACAACCCATGAATCAACGAAGTATACGAATCCAAATCCGGACCAGTTTCACTTCCTTTCAAATCATCCCATATCTCTTTAACAGTCTCCATCTTCCCCAAATTGATAAACGTTCCCAACAATACATTATACGTCTGCGTACTTGGTTTACACAATCCATTCTTCATCTTCCTATAAAGATTCATTGCTCCATTAGCATCCTTTCTCCCTTTATATTCTTTGAAAAAACAATTGTACGTCGCAGAAGACGGGCTTATCCCGGTTCCCACCATTGTTTCAAGCAACTCTTCCGCTTCCTCCAACCTCCCACAAGAACAAAGACACTTAACAACCGAAGTGTATGTTTCAATCGTCGGACTAATCCCTTTCGCCTTCATCAGTTTCAACTTATCCAACGTCAGCTCAGACTTATGAGCTCGGCTATACATATGAAGCACGATCGAAAAACTCGTAACATCAGGCTCAATCCCTCTTTGACGCATTTCATCGAACACCTTCTCTGCATCCCTCACATTCCTCTCAAACCTTTCTTCTGGATGCAAACTCGCTGTTCTACAAATCCCATTGAGCAAAACATTATACGTAACTACATTTGGCTCGATCCCGGACTCGATCATCTCCGCTAAAAACTTCTCCGCCATATCAATCCTTCTAAGTTTACACCAACCAGCAATCAAAATTGTATAAACCTTCTCATCAACCCCAAACTCTTCTTTCCTTTCGTTAAAAACCCCAACAGCCATCTTCGTATGACCGTATTTACAAAGCGTATCGAGAAGAAACCCGAATTCAACAACACCGAAACGACGATTCTCGAGGAAACAAGGCGCATCGTCGAAAGCACGAATCGCTTGACGAGTAAGCCCCGCGGCGATTAACCGTTTGACTAAGATTAGAAACGTCTCTGGAGAGGTTTGATCCATTTCGACGATGAGTTGTCGAACGACGTCGAATTGACGAACACGGCCGAGGATATCGATGATGAGATTGAAGGAGGTTGGTGATGGTGGTGAAGGAGAGGGTAAGGAGCGTAGATATTGGAAGAAGGAGAGGGCAATTTTGGAATTGTGACGGAGACGGAGGAGGGTTTGGTGGATTAGGTTAGGAGATAGGGAGATGCCGTTGAGTTGTAGAGATGATTCCATGAAATGGAATGGGTTGTGATTTGTTATAAGCATTTGTGAGATTAGTTCGGCGTCTGGGGAAGGTTCGAGTTTTGGGAGATTGAGAGTGGATGTGGAGGAGGAGAGGGTGGAGATACGGCGGCGGAGTGGGAACGGCGGTGAGAGTTGCTTCAGTAGCATTTTTCCGACTGTGTTTGTGTTTTTAACAAAATTACAGATTATGCCATGAACTGTTTGATGTGGAGAGAAGTGAAGTTGGGTCGGGTATTTAAGATTATGGTTTCGGGTCGGGTTAATTGAGTTGGGTTCCAGTTTTTTTTTTTTTTTTTTTTTTTTTTTTTTTCTTTTTCGACTTCTTATATTAAAAGCCCAACACGGGGTAAACGTACGAGTACAAATTTAGGCCCAACAAGCCACAAATTGCAATACAAAATATAAACATTGAACAATACAAAACACGTGTATAGCAACGTGGCAATTTCTGAACAGATCTGTGTTCTTCCCATGGCAAAGCCACCGACCGGAGCGCTTCAATCACTGAAATATTTGCTTCCGATCTGTTCTCCAAAGCTTCTGCACAGATTTCTATTGAACCTAGCCTGTAATTTGTACGAATCACCTTCTGCTAATAATCTTTGGAGGTTTTGACTGAGTTTTAAACTTTGTTCACCGGAATTCAATCTCGATTGATAAGGATTGAAGTATTCTTCAGAGAACTATCTAATCCACTTCCCTCAACCGCATCAACTTGAATCAAAACGACCAAAGAGAACCTTCACTCAATACAAACCATCCATGGAAGAGTGAGGAAATTACCGTCAATTGGACGAAGATTCAAGCACAGCACAACAAAGATCTATCAAAACCATCCTGATTTCAACGCTTCCTTCGCAAGAAAACGCTGACTTTAAGAACCAGCAGAAGGCTTTAACAAAAGATTAGAACCGAAACAAATTCGGAAAACTAAACCGACAAAACATCGGAACTAGATCTGGACAAAACCAGAAAACCTAAAACACCAAAGATATCAAACATATATATAGTTATAATTATAAGATCTCTGATGATAATCAGAGAAGAAAAGCAAAGCTTTCTCTCTCTAAAAGATCCGAGAGAGTTAAGAGAGAGAAGCTAAGTAATTTTCGGGATCCAGATTAATTAGGCCGGTTTAATGTTTTTTGTTTTGGTGTCTTAGACCATCTCCAACGCTGCTTAGTTGGTCTCTTAAAATAACAAAAATAATAAGGAAAAAATGTCATAAAAATCCCGAACTTTCAAATTTGGGACGATTTAATCCCGAATTTTAAAGAAGTCATTTTAATCACAAAGTTTTGTTGACTTTTCCGTAAAATAGTTAAGTTTTGTTGACTTAGCTGATTTAAATACGACGTTTAGTTTCTCTTAAAATTGCAAAGACGGGGTTAACTATCCGTGAGTTGCTTCCGTTTCAAACCACAAAACGACGTCGTTTAACAAACTGAAGAAACTAAATCCCAAAATCGATTCATAATTCAGAAATCTAACTCCCTAACCCTAGAAAAATCCACAAATTCTCTTTACTTCTTGTTCAATTGTTGCCATAGCGCGGACACATGGAGGAAGAAAACGACTTCCAACGTCGTTTTGTCGTCTAAGAAACATGGTCATTTATGCTAAACAGAAGCAGCTCACAGATAGTTAACCACATCTTCAAGTTTTTAACAAAAATTAAATGTCATGCTTAAATAAGTGAAGTCAACAAAACTTAGCTATTTTACAGAAAAGTCAACAAAACTTTATGATTAAAATGAATTCTTTAAAGTTCAGGATTAAATCGTCCCAAATTTGAAAGTTCGGGATTTTTATGACATTTTTCCCAAAATAATAATCTACAATTAAAATTTAATTTTTTAAAAATATTGAATCAGTCATCTGTGTTTTAGATGGCAAATAGTGTAAGAAACGTCTCTTAATATAGAATTTTTAGAGTCTCTTTACTTTCTCTCTCTTATGTTTTTAGTATATATAAATTTTTTTTTTAAAATTATTTTGTTATGAACCCCTTGTTGGAGCTGCTCTTAGGACAAACACCAATTAGGATTTATTCAAAATTTCAAACCGAAAAACATAAATTTTGTCAAAAAATAAAAAACACCTATTTCTATGTTTAAAATTTGGAATTGTTGTCACTACTTTATTCCTTCAGTCGTTAAATATTATAATTTGGACTTATATGTGATTTTGTAAGGGAAAACAATCAAACATTAAAAATGCCTCATCTTTTATTTGGATGTTTAATACTTCAAGTTTTTAAATTGGAATAAAAATACATCACTTAAATGTTGTTTTCCTAAATATATTTTATCTCTGAATTATTGGTAGATTCATACTTAACATCAACATCCGTTAACAAACTTTACGAAATGATCTATATGTATTAAGTGTTATCTATTAAACACAAATAAATAGTTCAGTAATGTCGGTTAACATATGTTAAATTGTAGGTACGAATTTATCAATAATTCAAAGATAAGGTATTTTTAGAACAACAACATTGAGGTTTTATTCCAATTTTAAAACTTGAAGTATTAAACATCTAAAAAATATATGAGGTATTTTTTGGGTCTTTTCCCGAATTAGTATGGTAAAATTGCAAGATTTTTTTGGTAATTAAGATATATTTCAGGTATTTGAGTCGGATTTTACCCAAACCGAATGAAACCCGATTTTATTGGATATTTACAAGGTTTCAAATTTGTAATCCAAACTGGCCCAACCCAAAAACCCAAATGCCTTGACCTAGCTCAACCCATTAGAGACTGAAGAAGGGTTTGTGTAAGGTGTGAGATAGGAAAGTAAAAAATAAATAAAGTAACGAGGTAGTAATGAAAAACATGGAGGATCAAGGAACGTTCAAAATAATCCATCTCCTTTATCCATTCCATTTACAATCGTCATACAAGTTCTTTCTCTTTTTTCGTTTATTTAATAAGAAGAGTGATAATGTTTAAAGAGTTTGAACCGTATAAACAGAAAGAATCATACAAAATAACAGCGATGAGGTTACACAAAAGTAAAAAAAGTATATCTCTTTTGTTTAGGGTGACTTGAGAATTTTGGCAAGAAAAGCCACTTTTTCGCCATCCGAGAGAACCTCGGTTGATAAAAATCATTGTCAAGGTTTTGATGCTAACCTGTACGACTTCTTGATCACTCATTAACAATCTGCTCTCTATCTTCTTCCCACTGTGGATTTGATTCTGCTAAAGCATGCTCTAATATTTTGCCTCTCTTCACCTCTTGACTTCTTCTTCGGTTCGATTCAAGTGTTATGAGCAAAGCTGTTATGTCAGCAGGACTGACTCCGCCTACTCTGCTTGCCTGCCCGATTGTCTCTGGTCTCACCTGAATTTATAATCGTTCACATCATAAGAAGATACGGTAAATCACATTCATTATACTAAAAACTACACTAAACACACCTTTGAAAGTTTTTCACGCCCTTCATGAGATAGAGTTGTCAGCGAAAAGTAATCCAAATCCGCTGGAAGTCGTCTATGTTGTTGGTGGACCATCTATTAAGGATTCAATTTTCTATTCACGTCCATTATCTCCAAGCATGTAAGGAGTATTTAAAGGAGCAATGTAGCAGACAGAACATACCTGCTGGAGTTGGTTTTGCTGACGCACAATGAATCCTTCATATTTTATATCGATCTCTACACAGTCTTTCTCCATTCTAGATAATGTTTTGTTTCCGAAGCCATGCTTCTCAAGAAGCTTGTAGTGGATATGGGGTTTCTTTAGAAGACTCTCTAGTGTTGCAGATTCTTTGACTGGCTGAGAAGAAACGTTAGAAACTTCAGCAGCCAAACCACCTTCTGCAACTGCAAGCCACACATCATCAACTTATGCAATGCAACAAATTCAGTTTTTCCAAATCTTAGTACATTTGCTGAATAGAGATACTCAGAGACAGAGAGCTCTGTGTTATAACAGTAGGTACAAAAAAATTATGGAGTTGTCACATTTCTTCTGCATAAATACTCTCATTCAACATAGGTTTAACAAAGAACTATCCGGTGTTAAAATGGATGCAAGGATCAACAGCATAAAATTGTTCTAAAAATAAAACTTCACTGGTGAGAGGAATAGAATAGATAGACAACCTGAAATCTTAACAGTTTTCAATCTCTTCTTCTCTTCTGAAATCCTTGCTTGCTTCTCTTGGTACAGCTTCCATCTTCTATCATCTATCAGTCCAAGTTCACGTCCTAGAGGTGTGAGTCGACTATCCGCATTATCGAATCGAAGAAGAAGACGATGTTCTGAGCGGCTGTCATCGGAAAAAAAAAACATATATGACTATCCCGCACTGTTGAACATACATACTGAACTAGAACTTTAGTGGTAATAAACTATTACGTAGCCATATAATAATTCATGTGAACAGAAAGTAAACAAGGAAATCTAAAAAGTCAACGCCATTGAGCAGTAACAATAAAAAATCAAAATCACATCAAGTTTAAATGAAAACTATCTACAGCGATAGAGTGTCAGCAAAGGTTATCAGAAAAGTTTAATCAATCAAACTTCAGAAACATATAAAGATGCCAGCTAGAGGGTTTTGCTTATTCGGTTCCACCAGACGAGAAGCATAGTTAAGGCAGAAATATTGGTTATGTAAAACACAACTGTCATCACCATCAAGCATAATTAAATGGGTGCCACATAATAACCGTTACTAAGAAGACTTATTTTCTTTCTCCAGTCTCTGGTTTTCCTCAAATAACATTTCCTGATTCATCTCTAGCCTACCCATAAATTTGAAAGTGGAGTGGAGGATTGATCATGAAAACAAAGAATGGAGGAGAAATTAGATTGAGCAAGATAATGAAATGGTATTTACCTTGTTAACATGCGGTATGGCTCTCTGAGGTCCTTTGTGACTAAATCATCAATTAACGTACCTATGTAACTGCTTTCCCTCTCAAGAACGATGTGTTTCTTACCGTCTGAGTGTCTAGCAGCATTGATTCCAGATATAATACCCTAATTTGAAATAAATAACAGAGGTTGGATCCACCATATGTATATAAAGTCTAAAAATTTTAATTCCATATCATCCCAGTAAACCTGTTAATATAATCCAGGTCCATCATTAAGGAAATTAAAATCTCGTGTGATCAGTTACCTGTGCGGCAGCCTCTTCATAACCAGTAGTGCCGTTGATCTGACCAGAGAAGAAAAGACCTTCAAGTTTCTTCGTCATAAGGGACCTAGAACACTGATGAGCTGGCAAATAATCATACTCAACAGCATATGCAGGCCTAAGCATGGAGCAATTTTCAAGTCCTGGCAAGCTTCTTAGAAGCGGCAGCTGGAGATTCTCTGGCAGGCCAGTTGAAAATCCCTATGAAATTACCAACCAATGAAAAAGATAGTGATACCAAAGATATTACACTCTAACAAAACACTCACAAGAAGATATATACGCACCTTAGAAGACATAATAATTAGAACCAAGCTAAGATATATTTGCTCTAGTCTTGAAAACTCTACTTAAAAACCCTCACATTAAAATACTGAGCAGTAACAAACTTCAGGCTTTCTCTAACTATATATAAAAAAAAATTACTGGACAAGCATACATTGCAGATACTAACAGAGACAAGCTAGGTTTCTTTCTCATCCTTTGGCTTCACTACAACGATAACAACTAGATAAATCATAACTAAGGTATGCATTACCTGCACATAGATCTCAGGAACATCTCGGCCCTCTGGTTCGAGGAATATTTGATGGGACTCTTTGTCTTTGAACCTAACAATCTGAAAGAAAATAAGATTTTAGGACTATTAAATTCATAAAAAGAATTTATAAAGTTAGTCAAAAGCAGTTTAAGAGAAAGATTTCAACACATTCTTTGTGCAGACTGTAGAAACAACAAATGCAAGATTGAATTAAGGGATTGAATAGGGGGGACCTCCAGGACTTTTCAAATGAAAAAATAACTAAAAAGGAGCAGTTAGCAGGAAATCAGAAACAATTACTGCTTTATTACTCCTTGAGAATTGACTTACACTTACTGAACCAAAAACAAATCCAAGGAACCAATGGGTTTGTTCTAAAGAACCAAAACTCTCCCAATGTCCTTCTAAAAGGCCTCAAAAAACAACCAAACACTCAAAAGTCT